CCCATTCCACATTTGTTCAACATTTATCAGCTCTCGTCCTCCTGCTTTATTCTACAACACTCTTTCTGTTATCAGATCTCTCTACATCGATTGAGGGCAGCTTGAATGTCATCAAAGTAAAGGCAGATTTATTGACAGTTTCATATCACAATCCGTTTAGACTCTTGGTGGTTTTGTCTTATTAAAAATCCATGACTGTTTTTCAGCAGCACTGCAGTCTGTTTCAAACCACAGACAGTTAAGTCTGAACATGGAAATTCCCTTAAAGGCTATTCTTTACCAACTGAAAGCAAGGTGCTGTTAGCAGATGTGTTTTCTTTTGGTGCTTTTTGATGTCATCTGGGGCAGCTCGGCCTGCTTTCTCAGAGCTGTTAGCTAAAGAGGGATGACGATCTGGTATCTTACTGACTCATACCAGCAAGACCTCAGACTGGACCCCTTTTAAGCTGCTGCCACCCAGAGACTGAAATCCCTTTCTCTCTGTTACTGTTTTCTTTGCATAGAAACGGCGGTCTATTGCTCTTTGTCTTTGTGTCTCTAACATCACAAAGAATTCTCCCTTCACTCTGTTTACTTCAAAATACACAGACTACTATGGAGAGCTCTGAAAAAATCTTAGGTGCTCGTGGGTGGAGAGGGGGCGTAATAAGTAATCTTGGCAGCACAGAAAGTCGGTCAGTGTATTTTTCAGTCAGGATTTTGCCAGGAACAAACATTAATTAAAAAAAGAGCTTTTCTGACAAGTTTATAAATCGAATCTTCACCACTTTTGTTTCAGCTGTCATTTGGAAATTTCTAGTTTGTTTACAAAGAGGGGCTTATTTGCACAGCACCAGTATCCACATGACCACCAGACTTTAATAGGCCGTATAACTGTTTTCTTTTATGACTGTTCTCATTGAAAACAGTATGTTCAAAGAACAAAGAGGGATTACCTTGGACTGGGAAATACACTTTAGAGTAAATGTAATTTCAGCCCATATTACTGTCACTGGCAATAGATTGTTCTAGTGGAGAAGGTTGGACACGTACCTTATATTTGGTTAGATCTCTTTTAGGGCTATGGTTATGGATTCCCCTCATGAAACTTTGATAACAGTAACTCATTTATATCTGTTGTTTGAGATGTTTTCGGTTTAGTATTAGGTTAGGGAAAGTTTTTGTGGTTTGTTGTAGATGTACTTATGGATAGCCTGTTTCTTTACTGGATTTTAGGCTTTATAGTTTGCATGTTCTCCCTGTGTCTCTATGGGTTCTCTCTGGGTACTCCAGCTTCCTTCCAAAGTCCAAAGACTTTCATGATTCTGGTGATTCTGAATCGGCCATAGGTGTGAATTTAATTATGAATCTGTCTCTTTGTAGCCTTGTGATGCACGGGTGACCTGTTCAGGGTGTACCTTGCCTCTTGGCCTTTTACAGCTGGACAACTGCAACTTCACATCCAAGACAGCTTTTTATTTTAATGGAATAAATCCTCATTAATTGATTATCTAGCATAACAGA